CAATAAATGAACATCAATTTGAAGTTAAAGTTGATATGGATATAGAAAATATTTGGAAAAGATTTAATAAAATTATTTCAAATCGTAAGTAAAATTTATTTTATTTAAATTAATATAATTCTGAATCGGATTACAAAATATTTATTTTTCTTCATTCTATTCAAATCCATAGACAATAATTCGAATCTTTTTTTACTAAAGATGAAATCTCGAATAAAAAATACTTACCAAAAAAAAACCTACGCAATCAGTATCATATAATATACAATTAGTAGATAATATCACTTTTCGATAGTTTGACATCGACCATTAATTTACTCACGCTCATTCTGCTAGGAATAATATTAATGTTTTTCCTTGTGATTCAAATCGGACAAAAGCTTTCGGTATACTGGTCGCTGTTTGATAATTAAACAATCAGCTATTCTATAGAAAAACGTTTTCGAAAGATCTTCATCCAATAAGACAAAAAAAAAAACAATTAGTTACCATGAAATTCCTTCAAAAATTTTTCAATAAAACGACATGCTAAATAAAAAACTTACATTGTTTGTGAAAGACCCAATCTGAGGCTATTCTCTAATGCATTTAATTTAATTTCGATGAATCTAACTTGAGATAGACTTGTTCTGAAGGAAGAGACGTAATAGAAATTTTCTTGTAATCAAATATAAGTCAATTGATATTCAATAAAATTTGAACTTTTCTCTATAGCCATTATTAATAGATTTTCTTATAAAAAATAATATTATTATCATAGTTCGTGAAAATGATATGGCAACTCGTTCATTACCAATCTATTTGGCTATTCAATCAAATATTTCTGTAACTGATCTTCAATCATCTATGTTATCATCATTAAATGATTATCCTAAAGTAATATTATCAATAAAAGATAAAGTTAATTTATATAAAGGTCTTGATTGGCAACGAACAGCAGCACGTCATGCCTTACAACATTATGCAAATGCAAATATAATACTTGTTAATATGCTTGAACAATGTCGATATCTTCATATACCATTAGGAAATTTTCCTGATGATCCATGTTTATTTGCATGTGATCTATTTTATGCTCGACATTTAATTAAACATAATCATTTATTATGGTGTTCATTAACAGATCAACCTGATTTAGGTGGAAAAGAACAAGATGATTATCGAATGTTATTAACAGCTGATGTTAATGATAATCATGGAAATAATCATATGAATTCAAATGATAATATGTTTAAAAATGATAATGAAGGAATACATACAAATAAACAAAATCATCCATTTGAAATAAATCATTCAGGATTTTATCCAACATCGTGTATTGAATTTGAACTTGTTGGTTTAGCTATATGTGCTGTATTAAATTTTCAAAAAATACATGAAGCTGAAGGATCAAATTTTGATCTTGGTAATAAAAAAACAAAATTCTAAATTTTATTTTATTTTATTTTTTTTTTATAAATTTTTAAGGTTTTGGTACAACTGTACAAAATCCTTTAGGTGGTCCTGGTGTTATTCCATCTATAAGTAATACATCAACAACTGCTTATGATGAAACAACACAATGTTTACCAGCATTACGTCTTCTACGACAAATGATTCAAATATGGTTACAAGATGTTCATTCATATACAAATATATTTGCTGATATGCAATTAAATCATTTTTATCGTTGGTTACAATCAACAAAAAGTTTACTCTATGAACCAGCACTTAAACGTACTATTCAAGTATTTATGAGAAAATTACTGTAAAGAAATATATACTAAAATTTTTATTTAAAGATTAAAAAAATAAACTTTTTGTATTTTGTTGTTTTCTTCTAGTGTACAATTACTTGTTGAATTACAACGTATTGGTAGTACAACAATATATGGAAATTTAAATAAAATTATTTTAGCAACAAAACGTTGGTCACTTATTGATACACGTTTATATATTAAAGTTATTCTTGAACATCTTCAATTTAAAGATTTAACATCAACAATATGTTTAGAATTAAAATCTATTTATCATTGTTTATGGTGGTTTGATGATAAAAATTATTGTGGATTTCGAATATGGTCAAATGCAAAAGGACAAATTGATGATAATATTGATAATAATGATGAAGAAGAAACTATTTTTGATTGGAATATGATTGTTTATTTACCGCGAGTTGTTCAAGATTATTTCGAAACTATTATGTAAGAAATTTTTCTTTTTTATGAGCCATTATTATTAAAGATTTGTAGTTAAAATTGGGAACTAATATCCTTTTCTTGTTGAACTCACTTTATATTTTTCAAAGAAAAATAAATCAAACTTATCCACTGTAAATGTTGTTCAATAGGAGTTGTTACTATTAGAAACCTCAAGAGTTATATTATTTTTACATTGTATGTCTTTGTAGAACTGATAGCTTAATTAATCTATATTTAAATTCTTAAACAGATTGTTCTAATAAGCTATTATGTTCTATTTAAGGATTGGTTTTGCTCGTTCAATATACGATCGTCTTCGTGATGAATATAAAGAAGCAACATCAATAACACAAACAAATTTACCAGTCAAAGTTCTTGAATATTGTAGGGGTTTATTTACTGATGAACTTTATCAACAATTAATGTCTGTAACAAATCAAATAGAACGAAAATTAACAAAAAGTGATTTTGATTCAACATTACCAACACCATTATCAAGTACAAGTCCAGCACTTGAATTTGTTAAATCTGTTTGTTGTCTTCTATTTCTTTTACATGATATGCATGATGATGTTATGAATCTTCGAAGAGATTTACTTAAATTACTTAAACTTAGCGAGTAAATTAATAAAAAAAAAAGTTTTCATTGATTTTTTTTTCTATCTCTATCATTTATAAATATATTTTTGTTTAGATATTCTGAAATGACAACAACAAATCTTTCATCTCTAACATCATTTGTTGTACCACAACTTGTTTGTTCAAATTGTAATCATTATCGTGATATTGATTTATATCGTGAAATAAATTCAACAATTGATAAAGATTCTGATGATGAACAATATCGACAATATCAATATATATGTAATCAATGTCATACAGCTTATGATCAAACAGTTATTGAACAATATTTATTAAATCATTTACAAAGACTTGTATTAGAAAATGTTCTTCAAGATGCTATTTGTAATAAATGTCATTTTGTTCGAAATGTTTATTATAAAATATATTGTGATTGTGGAGAATTATATCAAAATTTACATACAACAAGACTTTTAAATGATACATGTATTATATTAGCACAAATAGCATCAAAACATCAAATGACAGCTCTTCAACAACAAATACAATTTCTTAATCGACTTAATCATTGGAATGAGTGACTTGTGTGATTTTTTTTGTGAAATAAATATATGTTATGTAGATCTATTTTTTTGTATGATTAAATATATATATATTATGAATGATAATGATGATGAAAAATAACATTTTGCTGTGATGATATTTATTTAATATTCTAAATTTCGGACAAAAAAAGAACTATCATTTATTTGTTGTTTCATTCGTTAACCTTATTACTTCTAAAGGGACATCTATCTAATAAGAAGAAATATCTGTTTAAGGAATGTATAAAACACTAACATAAGAGCCGTTAACGAAATTCTTGTAGGATTAATATGTGAAACACAATGTAACTGTTGTTACTAATTAAGTGACAATCTATTTATTCGATCTATTTTGGGACATATTATATGATTTTTGATCGTTTAACAGTAACGTCTGTTGTGGTCTGTGACGGTCTCTGGAGAGTGGACTCCAATTTCTACTTTAGATACTTCAACGCTCCTTTTAGATCGTGCATCACAAAAAATAAAGTGTGAGCATCTTTAAAAAAACAAAACAAGAATAAAACATAACGCAGATGATGAGTTATTATGGTAAAAGACAATAGATAAAGAGAAGATTTCAAAAGAAATGAGAGAAGAACATCTACACTAGAATGTCTCTGGAAGAAAGATCAGCGAGTGCAGGTGTTAGTGAGGATGTATTTTTTACTTGTCTATATCCATGCCCACTTCAAGACAATGTGTTTAAGAATATTATTTCGATAAATCTGTAATTTATTTCTCAGTGCCTAGCTTTATATCAAGAGCTACTGTGACAGAGTGGTTACATCATTCGATACGTATCCATAAGGTACTGTTTTCAAACCTCAGTACCGCCAGTCGTGAAATGATCCGGGATAAGTCATTGACGGCTAGTTGCTAATACCGCCGTCTGTAAAAAGAAAAAAAGACGAAAGAATTCGATCCCATGTGGATCCAAATAGTGGTTAGTCCCAACAAACGATAAGCCAAAGGGAAATATTATTATACTATTATATATATCAAACTTCTCATGGATGATTACTATTTTCATCTAAAGCAAAAACAATCGTTTTTCTACTGATTTTTTTAATTGCCGAATACTTTAATATGTTTCAAGGTAATTTGAAATACCAAAATATCATATTTCCATCTCAAAAAAATTTCGAAAATGATTTTGATTATCTCCTATTTAGCTATTAAATACTGATATCGTACTCTAATAGAGAATTCAATCAAACAAACAAAAGTTATAGAAGACCTACTAATAAAACTTCTAAAAATCGTAACTGGACGTGGAGAATTTCCAAGTTTACAGTACATCTCAACTATTATGTTGTTATATACATCATAGTTGGAATTTTCTTTTTCATCTTCGTTAACATTTTTCTTTTCTTTCTTTTGCATGACATCATTGAACAATGTGTAAATAAAAAAAATAACAAAATTCATGAATTTCTTATTTTCCTAGTAGAATTTTATTTGTTTTTGTATTCCTTTGTCACTTCGAGAACAACGCTACTTTGTTCGGAAGCTACATCTGACAGCAGAGACAAACAGGTCAATAAGTAAACGAATAAAAAAATTCCAACTTTAAAGGGTTACTTTTTATACATTAGGAAGAAGAAGAACGAAAGAAGAAATATACACTCCTATGCTATAAAAAGGTGCTGCACAGACTTATTTCATTCGATTACAGTTTTTGGTTCTACAAGTCATCTTCCACAGTTAACAAACTAGTACGTCTTTCTTCTGTTAGTTTAAAATTCCAAATGAACACTTGATATTGTCTAGATTTCAAACATGCAAATCTTCGTCAAAACACTCACAGGCAAAACAATTACACTTGAAGTATGTTTCAGTTTTAATTCATCATTGGATATTATTTTACCTTATTTATATTAGGTTGAAGGCACGGATACAGTTGAAAATGTGAAGGCCAAAATACAAGAAAAAGAAGGCATTCCACCAGATCAACAACGTTTGATCTTTGCTGGAAAACAACTCGAAGATGGTCGAACTCTTTCAGATTACAACATCCAAAAAGAGTCAACACTTCATTTAGTTCTTCGTCTTCGTGGTGGTATGCAAATATTTGTCAAGACTCTGACAGGGAAAACAATTACTCTCGAAGTTGAAGCAAATGATACCATTGAAAACGTCAAGGCTAAGATTCAAGAGAAAGAAGGCATACCACCAGATCAACAACGTTTGATTTTTGCTGGTAAACAATTAGAAGATGGTCGTACACTTCAAGACTACAATATACAAAAAGAAGCAACTCTTCATTTGGTTCTTCGTCTTCGTGGTGGTTAATGAATATAGAAAAAAAAACATACATTTTAAACAAAGTTCATGAACATTCTCGAGTATTTTTTTTAAACTTTTTAAAAAAAAAATGCTTATGACAGGCGCTACGGACGTAGTTGTTCTTTAAAATTATTTGAAGTGTAACAAATATGATAGTATCTAACAGAGACCGAAAACGAACCGAACCGAACCCGAACCGACTTTTTGAAAACTCAATCGAACTGAATCGAACCCGAACAGGCTTTTTGAAAACTCTACCGAACCGAACTCGAACCGGACAATCTTGGCTCGGTCTGGATCGGTAGCAGTTCTCAGTTTTTAAAAGTTGCCTTACATATTCAAAAAAGTACTTTCACGTCTCTCAAACGGGTCACTGGTTAAAGGGTAGTTAAAATAAGCAATTATCTGCCATTAGAATACTAATATACAGCTTTTATTAACTAATTTTGCCGACCCGATCCGAACTCTAGTGGTTTGGTTCGGTTCGCATCGATCCGAACCGAACTCGAGCCGATATTTTGAAAAACGAATCGAACCGAACCGAACTCGAACCATAAAAGTTCGGTTCGTTTCGGTCTCTGATACAAACGTAACGCTGTTACACAGAATTTTGTGGACCAGTTTTGAGGCACTTAACATGTTTAGAATGGTTTGCTTTTTACAAATGTTACTCATTTCCGTGTAGATAATCTTCTACATAAGAATGAGATTGATACATCGATCCGAGACCTCATAAACCGGACAGTAAGTTGGAAACTGTGTAATAGTCTGCAATTTGTCTTTACTTACGAAAGTCAAAACTAAATAGGCCATTTTGTAGAGAATTAAATTCTGCATCGAATGGTCTGTCTCTCAATATTTTTTCAAAAATTGTTTTGGTTAAAAAATTCAAAATATGATTTTTCACAAGTTTAAAACCCGGTTTTTGATTCTAAAACCTAACTTTTTTACAAAATAAATGTCAAATTCGTAATCAGCGTTAAAAA